AGGCACTAAGTACTATCTTCCTGTGCTTATATGGAAGAACCAAAAGATCCCTAACTATCTTCCCTGTCTGGCTGGAAGAACCAAAAGGAAGCAAAATAAGCCTAAAGCATCAACTAAGATGTTTTTGCTGCTGCTTTACAGGTTCACAGAAACTGGCACAGTGAGCCTATTGACCTATACAAAAGAATCACAGACCACATTCACAGGTCTTCAAGCCTTCTTGTCTTGGTAGTTGTATTCTTCTTGGTCTTGCCTTGCTGGTTACATGGGCCACTCGGCGCATTGCGCTTCAATCTTCCTCTTCCAACCTTGCTTGAAGTGGTAGGGGGCACTGGCCTCGTAGTAGGCTGGTTCCTCCTGATGAATGTGGAATCTGGCAATGGTTCCTTGTGAAGTTGTCTTTTGCTTGTTTGTGAGGACTGCATGGAATCAAGTTAGGTGTTTACAAGTTCAATTTGATAGAGTGGACGAAGTTTAAGTGAACTTACATCTGCATGCAATTGAGAAAGGGCAGTTTCTGTCATATTTGATAGCACTGGCTGGCTCCCCTCTCCAAACTGCATGGAAGCCTACAATACCATGCTTCAGAGTGTATGAACTATTAATCCAATTGACATGCTAAATGAGTTTCACTTACTTGGCTAGTAACTGGTGCTTCAAAACCTTCAGCTGATCCTCCTTCTTGGCCATGATCCACATTTGGATTGTTTCGAGGTTGTAGTTCAAGCCTGATCCCAGCCTTCCTCAGCTTGCAACCACCTCTGTTATGCCCTTCTGTTCCACAATAAGAGCAAGTAATGACAGTACCATGCTTGGACATTTTAGGACCAAACTTGCCCATGACTTCATGAGGTTGCTTCCTTCTGTTCTTGGGTGGCCTGCCAACTTTTTTCTCATAGACTGGTGGAAGTACATTTGGTCCTTCAACTTTCTGCCACATGCTCCTATCTTTGCAAGGATAAATTTTGGGACCATATGCTTTTAGGTAGGTTGCAGTAGAGTAGCACTCATGAACCATGGACTCAGAAGGAATTCTCTCTATCCTCAAACAAGATATAGCATGAGAGCAAGGGATACCAGTCAGCTCCCACCTCTTGCAATCACACTGCCTAATGCCTAGGTCCACTGTGTATTGTCTGTCCAACACATTGACCTGAAAAATGCCATTACCAGCAGGCTGTGCATAATAGGTGTTTGCCCACTGAGAATTCTTATGAAGTTTCTTCCTTATCTTGGGGCAAATAGTACCATCCCACACAGTCCCTACATCCTTGTACTTTGTATGATACCTTGTCATCAGTTGTGCCTTGACTTGCTCTAGCATGCTCAAGATAGGCATTTCTCTAGCATCTAGTATGTATTTATTAAACACCTCACAACTATTGTTTAGTAGAATATCACACTTGGAGAAAGTGCTAAAGAAAGCCCTAACCCAAGTACTTGGTGGCATCTTTTCTAGCCATTCAAAAGCTTTCTGGTTAAGGACCTTAATCTTCTCCATGTTCTCATTCCATCTAACTACTATGGTTGACCTAGCACAAGTTCAGAGTTGGTTCTTTAAGTTCTCACCTTTGAATTGCATCTGGAAATTGGAATAAAGGTGTCTGACATAGAACCTATGTTCAGGTTCTGGGAAAACCTGTGCAACAGCTGGTACTAGACCCTGCAAATGGACAAGAACATATTAGTATGAATACAACAGTTGCAAGTTAAGAAGATGTGCAAAAGCTGGTACCTTCTGTTTGTCAGTCATGACAGTCCATGGGTATGTGTTTTCAATGCAGGCAGTGAAGCAATTGGGTTTGCCACTATGTTATCCCAGTTTATGCCAGGCATGCTGTTATCATGATCAAAATAGACAATAAGGTTCTTCACCCTGTCAACAATGCCAGTCATCACCAATGTCTCTGAATCTGACTCAATCACCCTAAGTCCACGACCAAGGTCCATTCCAGGAAGCAACCAGTATATCTTCAGAGCATCTATTTTAGGACATTTCAACTCATCAACAAAATCCAAGAACCACAATGAAAACCAGGTATCTACCTCGCAATGGTCAAACTAGTTCACTTTTCCACCAATGTAAGCCTTATCCGCCTCCTGACCAACAAAGAAACCACAGTGGTGCACCTCAACAGTGAACTTGTGATCAGCATCGCCTACATTGAACCAATTGATGCTCATTACTACTTGATTTATTTAGGCGACACCAGAAACCCTAAACCCTAGCCACCAAAACAAACGAAATTGGCCTACACCAGGAACAAGTACATGCACACCACCACATCCTAAAGGCGCTAATAAGAAGGTTTTGAGATTCGATTGACTAACCATAGTCCGGCGGTGGTTCCCCTTTCGGTCGCAGGCACGGCGCCATGTCGCAGATTCACCACAGTTGCGGCGGAAACCTGCGCTCCCCAGGTACGTCTCGTCGTTGCCCACCGCCTCTGCTTCCTCCTCGTCCTTGCCCCCGCCGCGCCCCCGCCGCCGCCTCGCCCCCAGCACGCTGAACTTGAAGAAGACAGGATGAGATTATGGAGATTGGCAGATGCGGACGGGCCTAGATGCATAATGTCACATGCGGTCGGTATTCAAACATGCGGCGCACGTGCTGCCACGTCGCCTGGAGGCCGTGGGAAATGGGCCTGCGGTGAACCAATTGACAAGTTCAGGGGCTCATTATCCACGTTTGCAAGTTGGTGGACCGGAATGGCACAAGCTGACAAGTTAAAGGGCCACCAATGTATTTCACTCTTTTTTTTTTTGCGAGACCTAGTTACATACGCAGATGCTCACATACACGTGTTTATTTTTGCTGAGCTTATAGCTTTTTCAAAAGCACTTTTTTCTATGATTTTGTCGTCTCAGGATCTGTCATTCCCAAATGGAAAAAGAACACCACTATACAAATTAAATATCTTGGTGTGCACCCTTTAGTACCATCCAAAGTGTCAACCTATTTGGTTGTGCTTCACAGTAAATGGCTTACTTGTTTTAGCTATCTCAGTAACTGCCTTTTGGCTTTTGACTATGAAGAGATAGCTTTTCAAAAGCTCGTAAAAAGTTGTAACCTTTTTGTTTTTGGACATGCTCTAAACTGTATAGGCAAACATTATTCTGAATCCCCCATTATTAGTGATTTTATTTGTTTCAAGAAACTCTTTTTATATTTACCACCCATATTTGGAGGGTGTATATGTGTGAATCTAAGTACTGATTACTGGGACGTCATAAATAGTTGATATTCCCTCCTTTCCAAATTATTTGTCATTCTATATGTATCATACGTCAAATATTCCTATCTATGGCGACTATTAGTTTCTAGAAAATTGTATAGTTTAACAACAAGTGAGTTGTATATCATGAGAATATTCAACATGGTAAATCTAAAATAAATCTTATGATGTTAAACTAAATGAATTTCTTAGAGGTAACGGTCAAAGGTATAATTCGTACTAGAGGGAACAATTCAAACATTTGCACACTCATGTCACTCTCTTTATATCCTAGTGGTAGATTGATGATGCTTGATAAGGTACATGATCCAAGTTCTGGAAAACAGGCCATAGACATTTCAAGCTTGTATAAAGAAAGATTCAAGCACCAAGTTCGAATTAGATTTCAAGATGAATATCACATTTGGTAAGTGGCTGTCCATTTTCTCGAGGTTATGTTTGCATCTTCTTGAGTTTCAAAGAGATTCCTCCATTTCAACAAAGTAATTATGCATCTTGACACCAAGCTCTCACTCTGATTTCTTCTAGCATATATAAACCCAACAAAGTAATTATGCAATTTTTTTCGAAATTTTCCCATTGTCAATAGACCAAATAGACCAGTTGAGAACAAAGACTCACGACAATTTCAGTGACAGAACTAGAGGCTTAGTTCATCAGAGATTGAGTTACAAGGAAAGACTTCAGGTTCAGGGTGCTCACCAAGCATCCACAGGATTGTCAGCCACATCGATCAAATTCCGTAGTATGATTGAGTGAGGACTGTACGAAACGCCAGGTGCTCTGCATAGCAAAACACTTGAGTTTAACATCACAATTTCAGTCGCTGTTCCTTCTTTTATTTTGCACAACAAAATGGTCATTTTCAGAGCGTGCTGGTAGCACCAGACAACTATGCATATTGTTACTGCTGCTTCGTTTGGAGTTTCCTGTGGCAAAAGAAAGCAACACTCCACCACTGTTCTCTAACTGCCAAACGCTTAGCAAAGAATAATGCGAAATGATTCCTCATTCACAGAATAGCAAAAACACCTTTAGCGTCGTCACCACCAGGATGAAACTCACTTTGGCTATGAATGGAATATGGAATGGATGACCATGGAGGTTTTGCCGTAAGCTCAAGAGGGAGGGACCCACTGTCTCCACTCAACTCAGTACTGTGGTGGCACTCAGAATCTCACCTAACTGCTAATGTGCATCTCCTTCCAACACCTGTTGTGCAGCACTATACCCACCAACTATTCAATGCAATGCCTATGCATACATGGGAGCCAGCAACAGCCAAGATCACCTATGCAAACAGGCCTACTAGCCAAATTAACCTCCTGAATTTACAGAAACAACACTGCTTTCCCCTCTTCAAAGCAAGCCAAATAAGTAGACCATAGACATTTCAAGCTTGTATTTCAAAAGAAAAATTAAAGAGCCAAATTAAATGTAAACATTCACACAAAAAAACACCATATATATGTGATCAATGAACATAAGAGCATATATGTAATGTAATAGCCTAGGAATGGTAGCATTGCAACAGCTTGCATTATTAATTTACAAGCTAAAAGTGCTATGTAACAACAATAAAAACAGTCAGCTCTTAGTCACACCATGGTCCTTGGACTTCTGATGCAATATCGATGTAAATCAATATACGTAAAATTGTTGAGATTTCCCCATTCTAAAGAACCAACTAGAAACAGCCCAAGGGCTTTTGCCGATGTCTAGCGCTTAAACTGATTTCAAGTAGTAGCGCAGCTAGCTAGTGCTTTAGTCTTTGGGCACATACGGCACCATCACCGTGTCCTTATCCATGTAAAATTCCATGCATATTTCTCGCCTAGAGAACCTTCGTAGTATCTGGTACGACTTCCTGGCCATGCTTTCAGTCACCAAAGAATTGAAAAATATTGTCATCTTCTTTAGCTCTGTAGCCCAGATGAGTAGATGCTTCACAAACATAACTTCATGTTCAGATCCTCTCAACTCAGTGATTTCAACTTCTTGGAGGTGATTCAACAAGAGTTCCTCGAATTTCCAATCTTGTTGCTCATCACAAATGCAACCAGGTGGACATGCAGTTTGTTCCTGAAACAATGACCAATCATAGTTGCTTAGTGAGGCTAACCCATTGTGAGTTGAACATGAAAATTATCATATTGCCCAAATATGCTATCAAGACATCATCAAAAAGGATTATATGCGCCTAGACATATTAGCCTGAGTCCATCAGATTGCAGTAATATAATTGTTCTGATGAGCTAAGAGAAACTGGTATAAAATGATTCTTATTAAATTTCACAAATCCTCTAATATCATGCTATCAACAATTCAACATCACATATTCAAGAAGATTTCCAATGGACCTTACAAATTAGGTTAAACTTACTATTATCTCCTAACTCCTAGTTGTATCAACAATAACAGGCCTACCATGCATGCAACAACTCTGTCAATTTTTTTGAACGCAATCTGTTAATTTACTCGCACTATTTCAAAGATACTGACAATAACTAAAATATATATACTAACAATGCAACCCAAATGTTATTAACACTAAGTGAAAACCCAAATGTAGAGCAAAGTGCCATCATTATTATAGGACATAAATAAGCCACATAGTTACAACAGATGAACATCGTAGCAAAAATATAAGCATGCAACGAACAACGAGAAATGCAAATGCATATATATAAACAACAGATAACTTTACCTCCAGGCTGTTGCTAGAAATATGCAGAGTCAACTTTCTTGTACCAGAACACAACCTGAGAACATGGAATAAGCTGGCCCCAAAGGCATGTCCGTTTGAAATTAGATCCAGGTTCAAAACTGTAACGCCCGGGAGCATTTTCATGTCTTTCAGTAAGCATGGTTTGTTATTAATCTCCTGTGTCCATTGGAAGTCACCATGAAAACAGGGAACCGTGTCAGTTTGGACAGAGCCAGAAACATCTCATTTGGATTATTTCCTGTTCGAAAATCAGGTTTTTGTGTGCCTAAACGAACCATATATATTTATGTACAGAAAAAACTTTGGACCTCATTTGTCAGTAATGTTTCATAGGAACATGAGCAAAGGAAAAAAAAAAGTGGTAATTTTTCATGGCTGAACTTCTCATCATCTATACAATTGCATATGAACCCACAAATTTCACTGAACACATACCGTGCGGCTTGATTAGGGTACTTTCATCATAAAAATAGTGTGGCAATCACTTAATTTCATTTTCAAAAGTTAGAAACTTTGTGTGAATGTTGAATGGCAAACGAAAACTAGTAGAATGTTATCATGATGAAATATACAATTTCAAACTAAACAAAGAGAGGAAGTGATGAACTCACCGGTGGATAGACCAGTGTGAGGCCAAGCTTTTGGATGTTGTTAAAGCAGCGCAAGAGCTCAAGACAACCCTGGTTTGGCGAAAACGCATACACGAAGAACAGGTCGAGGCACACTTTCCGGAGATGCTTCATCTTCCCAAGCTGGACGGACCTCCGATAGAACAGATCTCCCCACTTGAGCACCTTCTGCTGGCGCGCCGTGATGGTGGCGTTCGGCCGTCGTTGCCAGTGGTTGTAGAAGCAGGCGAGCACCTGCAGGTGCTCCAGGGCCGGCGCGACGACGGCGAACCGCCGCAGGTCGCGCACACGGGTCAGCTCCATGCGCCGGAGGGAATCAGAGTGGACGGTGAGGTCGTCCAGCCCCCAGGCGTCGCTGACCGTGAGCGTCTGCAGGGACGGGCACCGCCGGGAGGAGACGGCGTCGCCGAGCGTGCACGGGCCGCCGCCGCCGACGGGGAGCCGGGCGCGGCTCAGGCTGAGCTCGGTGAGCTGGGCGAAGGCGCCGGCGCGCGGCACGGTGAGGCCGAGGCGACCCAGGTCGAGGGAGACGCTGGTGGCCCTGTCGAGGCAGGGAAGCTCGAACGCGCCTCGTCCCTGGGCGTCGTCGACGTCGACGTCGTCTCTGGCCGCGCCTCTCCGGCGGGGACGCTCGTCGAAGGCGCTCCTCCCCTCGCCGTCGGCGTAGGCGTCATCGTCTCTCCCCATCAGCGTCTGGTTGGTGAAGACGAGGCTGCCGGAGAGGCGGCGCGCGGCGACGCGGAGCCATGCCGCCACGGGCTCGGGGGCGGCGTCCTGGGTCGTCACGTCGAGGTGCCTGAGCTCCGCTTCGTGGGCAGCCAGCGCCGACGCGATGAGGCCGGTCTCGGGGGAGAGAGGGACGAAGCGGAGCTCCGGGAGCAGCGCCCAGAGGCGGCGCCAGCGGCTGGAGAGCACGCTGGTCCGACCGGCGGTGGCGGCGTCCCCGAGATCCGCGAGGATGTGGAGCAGGACGCCGTTGGGGAGCGCGCTCAGGCGGTCCATTCCGGCTTCGTCGTCGTCGGTGGGCTTGGCGGCGAGGTGGCCGCCGCCACTCAGGCCTGGCTCCGTCGTCTTCATCGGAGGAAAGGCAAGGCGAAAAGTTTTGGCGCGAGTGCAACTACTGGGGCCCATATTAATAAAAAAAAATCTAGTGGATCCGATAGCATCCAAAATGTCTGACATTTTGGTTTCCCTTTTTTCCATTTCTATGCGATCTACTTCGATTTCAATCTAGCAGTTTCGGAAATACCATTACCATTAGAGCAAAAATTTCTATGTGTCCTGTCATTCAAAGCATCCACCGTTGGGTTTTCCACTACCTTCCCACGGCTTGTCCATTCCAAACAATACTAGTAAAAGAATTTAGTAACCAATATCATCTCCATATGACAGTACCAATCGCTTTGGTTATGCTTTATGGTAAGTGACTTTTATTTTAGCCAAGGATTTTTTTTTTCAAAAGTTGGTTTTGGCTTTCGACCCTAGAGAGACCACTTTTTCCAAAAGGTGTGTGTCGGTGTAGAAAGTGACCAACACGTAAATATTTGTAGTTTTGCCGTACATTGTGATCGGAGGTGGCCTAGCACTCAATGACACAGGATTTATACTGGTTCAGGCAACGTGCCCTACGTCCAGTTTAGGTCGGTCGGTGACTTTATTCCTGAGTCCAGGTGCTCGAAGTTTGCAGTGGGGTTAAAAACAAGAGGGAGAAAGATGGGGGTTACAGGAGGTCCGGCCGGACTCTGGTCAGAGGGACCGAAAGCGACAGGAGCTCCGCTATGTGCTAAGTGTTTGAGCGTGTGCTCGTGGTTTGAACCGGGTGGTTCTGCTGCTGTGTGCTAGTGAACTTGATCGATTTGAATCAACTTAGAGAGCTTAATTCTGAATGGCCCTATCTGTTGGAGGAGAGCGCATCCCCTTTTATAAATGAAGGGGATGGCTTTACAAGTGAGAGGGAGAGAATATGTATGCTGCTAAGTCTTGCTTCCCATGCCGGCGGGTACAAGATAATGGTAGGCGCCCACAACACTGTTGGATGTCAGATGCACGTGGGAGGTGGTGTTGTCTTCTTCGGGTATGGCAGACGTCGGCGCCTGCCACACTGTCGATGCCTGGAGGTGCGTAAGGGGCTTTACCATGTTCGCCAGGTATGGTAAATTCCGGCGCCCACAACATTGTCGATGCCCAGAGGCACGTGAGGGGAGCCTTACCGTATGGGAGTTAATGGCGCCTACAACACTGTTGGGGTTCTGACAAGTCTAGAAGGTTGCAGGGCACTCTTCTGTCATATCCTGTCGGTACCCAGGGTATGATCCCGATATTGTAGTTTGACTTTGCGCCCTGCCTTATTTTCTTCGTCCGTTTCCTGGTCCTTACCGAGCGGGCGTCCCCGGTCGGTTGGCCCCAGTTGGCCCTGATTGTGTTTAGCCGGAGTGGAGTCGTAAGCAGGGGTTCGGCCAGGCCTTCCGGTCGGAGAGGCCGCCCGAAGGCGGGCGGGAGACCGAAGCGAGTGCTTCCGGTCGGAGCCGGAAGTGGAGTTGGATCAAACCTTCTGGTCGGAGAGGTCGTCCGGAGGCGGGCTGGAGACCGAAGTGAGGGCTTCCGGTCGGAGAGGCGGGACGGAGTCAGAAGCGGGTGCCGTTCCTCCTCGACCAGGCCTTCCGGTCGGTGATTGGATCCCCCTTCCGGCCCGTCATTTAGGTACTTGGGCCGGCCCGTGAGTTTGCTTGTTGTTTGCAACGTTGCCTACTGGGCCAAGCCTTTGTTGGGAAGCCGGTCCGCGTAGGACCCCGGGTTTATGAACCCGACAGTGTGACTTTTTTGTTATTATGCAATCTTGCTTTGAGATGTGATGGCCCATGGCTTTTGATTTGTAATGCCATGGTTTATCAATTTCAAACAATACCACTAAAAGAATCTAGGTGCGCTTTCAATCTGAACAGACGGCCTACTGCACGGTTATGCTTTATGGTTATTTGTTTTAACCGAGACGTTTTTTAGTTGGTTTTAAACTTTTGACTCTAAAAGGACCACTTTTTCCAAAAGTTCTAACCTTTTTTTTACAATCTTCTTTGGGATGTCATGGCTGATGGCTTGAGTTGTAATGTCTCTAGTTTTAAGCAGTGCTGAAAAACAAATAAAGCAGGTATACTACATCAGCGACCTCTTGCCGGCATCGTGAGACTGATACATGTGAAATTCCACACGTCTCATGTCCATTGAAGCCAACTCCTTGCCCTTCCTTTCAGTGATTGAGCGATCAAACATTATTCTTATCTTTTCTTGAACTGTCACCCAACTGGTATTTGACACAACCGAATGATCAGGTGACTTTTTTGTGTTTTCATTTTATCTCTGTCACTGCATAATCCAAAAAAGATTATAAAAGGATGTGACTTTTTTTTGTTGGGCAACCTCACTTTTGGATACCATATCAATCATAGCTCATGGCGTTTTGAGCTCAATTCTACAGTGTCTATAATGCCTCTGATAATTGTGGTGAATATATTTGTTCTGATGGGCTCTTCTTTTTTATGGTTGTTGCTAATATTTAGAAGCAAAAATGGTATTTTTGATGTCCTTTGTGTTAATAGTATGAATTACTACTAGAACATAAGTAGCTAACAGCTTATTCATTTTTAGTTTTTCCAAGAAGCCCTCGTATCCAAGTATATTTTGGTAGAGATGATGATGCTTAATCACGTACATTCGAGTTCTAGAAGCCACTCATCACTTCACAAAGCACAAACCGCTTGGACTTTTGAGGATGCCATCTATGAGCAGCGGTGAATTGAAAGAAAATCTTAGGATTGTTCTTCCTCTCTCGCTTGCTCCCTTGCGCTCTCTCTGTCATGTCCAAATGTCACATCTGATTAAGTTAGCCGCAGCTTGGACTTTTGAGGATGCCATCTAGCCCATCGTGGATGTTTCGAGTTGGAATTTTTTTGTACTATTAATTGTTTTTCTTTGACATTCACTGATCTTCTGCACAGAAACAGGAGAAAATGGAGATGAGAGGAATATAGGTTGAAACAGCATTGCTGCATATATATGAAAGATTTTTTTTTCTGAACTTTTCCTCATCACTGTCTAATGGACGTGCCTTCTACTTCTGCTCCTACTAAATGGACGTGCCTTCTATTTCTGCTTCTCTTCTCAGAATGTGAATACAAGTAGTAACTAAATGGCAGTTGGCACATACATCTTTGTACTGCTTTATTAAGGATCTAGAGTCATTTTTTAATATGCTTCAGGTTCATCGATCGTCGTCATCAGTACATTCCTCTAGCTCTGATTCTTCTCCAGTTTGGCTCTTCTTGCCAAGAGAGCAAATCGAGTACATGTACATTGATTGCTTGGACATTATTAGTTGGTGGAATGTTTTCAGCCAGTGATGCCTCATGTAGGTATAGGGAGCTGTATTAGTATCAAACTTGCATATTTTCGTTTCATTGGCACTTCCTATTCTCTTGTATCATCTAGGTAGAGAGTCCATGGCAGCATGTTTGTAGCTGCATCACTTTTGTCGGCAGCTAATTTAGCAGATGATTGTTCTGATAAAGCAGGCAGCAATCAAACAGATGTGGAACACATCTACCGAAGCAAAGTGTATCGGACCACGTCTAAAACATGCATCGACAAAATAGTGTAAATAGAGCTATGCACTGCAGTGCAGGAGGCCACACAATATATGTGCAGGCACGACGAAGCGCGCCCACTTTTCTTGTATATTGAAACAGGGGAACTCGGCCTCGGCCAGGGCCTTCCGCCGCCGGCTCGAAGCGAACTGCGCAATCGGTCTCCGCTTGGCCTTACCGTCGCCACCATCAAGCCCTTCTATCGCTGATAAACAGCAGTAACCAAGTTCGTTGTCCACTGCAGTCTGACCATGCCCGCCGTTCTCTACAGGTATCTCCCAATCCTGCAGTCAACACTTGAGTTATGATAGTGTCGATGATTTGCACTGTATCTACAACTAATGGTCATTAGATACATAGAAAAATGGTATCTGACATTGATAGTATTAAAGTATTACAAGCATTTAAAAGAGACTATCCGATTTCATACATCACACAACACTAAACGAGGGGGAACTAATGGTCATGAGATACATAGAAAAATGGCATCTTTACAAGTATTACAAGCATTTGAAAGAGACTATCCGATTTCATACTTCACACAACACACAAGGGGGGAAAATAGAAGAATACGGTCAGTCTTAACTGAAATCTTTGGCATAAAGGTTGTTAATTTATACTACCACATATGCCAAAAGGTTTTCGGGGGTATGGGCTTTAGAGATCTTCGGTTGGTGAATCAGCCTTTGTTAGCAAGACAGGCATGGCGGTTGATCTTCTACCCTGAAAGTCTTTGTACGAGAGTGCTGAAAGCTAAGTACTTCCCACAAGGGAATTTATTAGACACGGTCCCTACAAAGAGATGCCTCCCCTCGTGGAGGGAATAGAACATGGATTGGCCTTCTAAAGCAAGGGGCAATATATAGAGTGGGTGATGGAAAGAGCATTCGCATTTGGCGTGACAATTGGATCCCCAGAGAACACAGGTTGAAACCTGTGGGACGTGTTCGGCACTGCAGGTTGAGGTGGGTTTCTCATTTGATTGATGCTCAATCTGGATCATGGGATGAAATGCTGGTGAGGAGATATTTCTATGCCTGTGATGTCGAGGAAATACTGAAGATTAAACTTCCCCGCAATGCTTGTCCGGATTAGGTGGCTTGGAATTTTGAAAAGACCAGTATCTTTTATGTGAGAAGTGCATATAGACTGCCTATGAGAAGGGAGCATGCTGAAGGGGAGATTGGCAGCAGTTCTACCCCTGCTGATGGGAGAAAGATGTGGAAGACCTTATGGTCTCTTAATGTCCCTAAAAAAGTTAAAGTTTTCACGTGGAAAATTGCCAACAATGGGATTCCTACTCAAGCTAATAAGTGTTATCGACATATTGCTCCCCAAGCTACCTGTGAGATGTGTGGTCACTGGAGTGAAGATTGTTTCCATGCTTGTGTGCAATGCCCTCACGCCGTTGCCCTGCGTCACGCTGTGAGAGAGCATTGG